GCGCGGATATTATAATAATACACATAACATATACTTATACATATAGGTTCTCCCCTACCCCGGGATAAATACAAATGCCGACGGGGAATCCGAGGGAAGTGGTCACGCCGTGTCGATACAGCAGCTGGGTTTGGTCCAAAAAAAAAAAAACAGCTGTTCGAGCTAGGGGAAGAAAAACTGGTTTATCCTATATATATATATATATATAGAGAGAAAGAGAGAGACAAATCGACAGAGCTATTTAGGAGGCGCAATAAACACATTTGAATGTGTAGGAGTGTGTGTGTGTGTGCTACTAACAAACGGTTTTTATACCGTCTCGTCGTATACAAGCGTTGGTGGTGAACGTACAACAACGCCAAGGTAGGTAAATACATTATTATAAGCCTGACCGAAAAACGTTTATCGATTGAATTTCGGAGTGTAACTACACGAAAATGCCATAAAAAAAAAAATTTTAAAAAATACTCAAAAAACATTTTTGTCACTTACAAAAATATTAGACCACTTCAATCAAGGTGTGCCCCTCTGTTCGTCGCAGTTGCCTACGTAGCATTGATTTTTATAAACAACGGTCATAGGTCTTGACCACCGTCCATTAGACAGTGTACTACTATGCGATAAAAAGACAGACCGGGTAATTTATTTTCCACAATCCTCACAAGAACATTATTACTACTACAACAACAACAACGGATTTGACATTACTCACCAACGACCGCGTCCTCCCACGGTATACACACTTTAGGGTTATGACGTAGCACGCGTTATTACACAATTGTATATGTATATGTGTGTGTGAGTGCATAAGGAAAAGAAAAAAAAAATCTCAAACGTTGGACAATTTATCGTCGAGAGACTCGGAAAGCCTATAGACACGTGTATTTCGTGTGTACATTACCCCGAGGATGATAAGTATATATATATATATATATATATACAGCTGAGGGGTGGCTATTCCGCTGGTCTGGGGTGTATGCGCGATCGACACTATATACAGGATGATCATTTTATCGTGAACAACTCAACATCTCATAGGGTTCAATAAATAATAAGTGTAAATTTTGTTTTTATACAATGTGATTTGTGTCATTAAATATTTAAATTGAGAACAATGTACTAAAAATGTTCACTGGTCAATAACCACAGTATTGGATAACAGTTTCTAGTTTAGGACAGGAGGAAAGTTGGAGTTTAGTATTATTTTTATCTGTGCGCACTGCCCCTCCTCCCCATGTTAATTGTTTAATAGCTATTATAACGTTAAAAATAGTCGTTCAAAGCTGGTTGTCGACCAGTCAAGATTTTTAGTAAATTAATTTAAAAGGTCAATTTAAGTTTCAAAGGTTGCTAACACTGTACTATGGAAAAAACAAAATTTCTCATTAAGCCCCATGAGATATTGAGTGGTTCGCGATAAAATGATCACCCTGTATACGCCGCCGGTAACATAATATAATACTGTATATTCATCACTCTGGTGTCCGGAGACGGCGGTGTGATTCGGACCGGATAAGCGACCGAAATAATATCTAAATCGATCTCGTCGGTATACTACACCCTTCGCCCCTTCGTCCCCCCCCCCAAAAAAAAAAATGTTTCCCTTTGCAGACCAAAGTTGCCGATTACGATTTGTCGTGTTCATACTGTACAAACGACCTTCGGTTATTAAGAACTTTCGGCGATCAATATAAACAGTATGCCGCTCTCTTGACCGCACACTAGTTCAACACGATGGACTACTAGGTGGTAGGTACTATTTATACAATGTCAGTTATTATGCATTGGCGGAGATCCTTAGGGGGAGGGCTTGGAATACTAAAAACTTTAAAACTTAAAATTAATGCCACATTTATTTCAGTATCAACAAATCTCTCACTAAAAAATAAATGTAAGTATTTTGTAGAGCAGTAATTTTAAGTTTTATGGTTCTGATCTACGCCAATGTGTACGCCTTCTGCATCCAAAACTAAAAAAATATATTTAAAAAAAACCACGTGTGGCCCGGCGTTGGGTTTGATCACTTAAATGTTTTTTTTTTTTTTTTTTACGGTTTACACACAGCCTACGACGACGAGGGAAGGGATAAAATCGATTTTCAGGCGATAAAAAATATATATATATTAAAAAAAATAACATTTTTTAGATAACAATCCTCTCGGGCGAGCCCTAACTGTCCGGTATAATTACTACCACCGTTACTACATCGACAGAGGGACGGGCCACGTGTAAGGATATAAATTAAAAATAATATACAGGATGGCCACACGCAACGAGCGCTATTAAAAACCATAAATTTCGGTCGTAAAAACGGTTATGAGTTTACCAAACAATACGGACTTTTTGGGGCGGTGAGTCATAAACGGGCTGTAAAAAAAAAATCCTATGTAAAACGCCAAAGCTTGTAAAACAACAAAAAATATACACAAACTGGACATTTTAACAAAATTCGCAGCTGATAAATATATTTAAAAAAAAAAAAAAAAAACGTTACATAATATTTTGCCGTACACATTTTCAACTCATTCAAAGCCAATATCACGTTAAAAAAAATATATCTAATATTCTTACGCACTTCAGTTAGGAATTCTGTAAAAACAATTTTACGTTGGGTTGTAAAAAACAAACGCTCCAACTAAAAAGCTGTAATACGCTATTGGTATGTGTATTTTCATGTGTCACGCGTGTGACAGACGCTTGTGGTGACGTCATGGCAAGAAAAACAAAAAAATTGTTCACCGTCCACTTCATGTATGCATTAAAGATGATAATATTAAATAATAAACGCTATAATGATAATAATAAATAGTAAACGCTATAAAATTGTTATTATTATTATTATTAGAACTATAAAGTTAAAAATAAATTATTACTTAAGCTCGTCGATTTCGTAAAATATGTGTTTACTAAAAAAATGATAATATATTTATAGCTACGAGCTAGCTATAATTAATGTGTTGTTTGCAACGACCAAATTGTCATTTTTGATAAACCCGCACAATATGACTTTTATACACTCAGGTGTCGCAGTGTCGGCTAAAAAATATTATTAGCCCCGCTATCGAATCGAAAAAAAAACACACACAGAAGAAAGGTGTGGCCCATATGGATGATGCGTTAGAAAATAAACCGTGTGTTGTTGAAATATAACAAAAATATTATATTAAAAAAACGGTTCTGGCCATGAGGTGGTAGACGTGCCGGTATACTATAATATGTATATGTTGGCATAGACTAAAAAAAAATAATAGTAATTAATGTCAATAAAAAACACGAATAATTATTTTGTTGTTGTTTTTTTTTTTTAAATATTGTTTTTACTTTTATTTAAAAAACGCCAAACGTCTCTGTCCTGTGTCTATTCGGGACTAGAGCTATCCGTTTAATTTCGAACCGCCCAATCGAGCTATAGTCGTTAAATAAACAAGTCGGAATAACAATAATAGTAATTTATCACCGGCCATGTTGTCACGACCCCGCAATGTTTGCATTATAAAATATAATCATCGTTGGAAAGACGGAAAAAAAATCACATTTTAACAGAGGACAAGACACTAGTGACGATTTAACACAACGCCATTTATTTGTTCGGTTGCACACAGCCATTATAGCCCATCTCAAGCCTCCTGAACAAACACCGGTAGTCCCTTTAAAAATGTATTTATTTTTTTTAAATAATAGTCCAACTCCCTCTTTGATCTTTCCGTCAAAAAAAAAAACAAACTTCCCAAAGACACCACGACTTGCACACGTCTACAGACCATGTCAGGGCAATTATTTTTTTTACAAAACGGACCTGTATATAATTTTTTGGTACTACTTAGTCCCAGCGTTCTTCAGAGAGAGAGAGACGATGGTCCAGTTTGATTAAAAATACTCTTTCCTTCGATCCTCCAATATCAATTCTACTATTGTCAAAAGAAATCGATTATTTACGAAAGGGCCCAAAAAAGTTGAAACTTTCAGGAAATTAAAAACAACTGTTTTTCATACACAATTTTACTTGAAAAATATGTTAAATTCTTACGCACTATACCTATTTAAATTTGTGAATACCAATTTTGTAACCCACAATAAGAGTTTTTAATTGAACCAATTTGACGCCCATGTAGAACAAACGAATTACTAAACTATTTTTTCATAAATAAAATTACTAAATCATAAACTGGATTATGTGCAATACAGTTGATGTACCTAAACCAAAACTACTTTACCTATTTATACATTTGTATTATGACTTTTAAACAAATGTTTATAACAATTTATAAATCATTAATAGCAACTTTTCTTCCAGACTTCAGTCATGACAGTCGTCAACGGTCACATAGGCATATTTATTAAAAAAAAATTGTGACTTAACACGTTTCATAAATAAACGATTCAAATATGATCCTCGCCGAGTTTACCTCTCCTCGTGCCTTCTTAACAGCGGCTCGGCGTTCTCGTGATAAATTTAAATAAACATAAAAAATGAACACAAATGACGTGTGGGTTGTTATGTACATTATGTAATAATATAGTAACGTCAATTTCAATCCCGTGCGTTAAGCCGTCGCGGTGGGAGAAAAGAAAGCGTTATATTTTATTTTATTATTATTATTATTATTATAATAACGCTGGTTTTTTAAGAAGCCTCGCGGTTCCTTTTTTTATTATCATTCTTAACCGCTCATTTGAAACATTTTTGATAATGCTCTGCTAGAGTATAATATTATGTGTGCCTGTGTGTGTTATACTGTGTGTAGGTTATTATTCGTGAGGTTGAGTCCAAAAATAACAGAGCTACCGAGTATGTGCGATCATAACAAGCCGACGACATTTGGCCCTTTGCCCCTAAAACAACAAGCAATAAATAGTACATGGGTCCGATTTAAATTCGTTCGACCTCGAACACGCTGTACGCTCTTAAGACTACAATATATTATTTTTAGTATGTTTTGTCGTCGCCCCGATAAGGAAAAAAAATTGCAAAAAAAAAAATAAACCACAAGTTCTCTTACCTGTTTTTCTCCAACTCGTTGTGAGTCGTCCTGTAAAAAAAAAAAAAAAAATGTTTTTAATTTACAAATTGATACGTAGACTAAATTATAGTGACTTAACGTTAAGTTTTTACACAATGACCTCCCCCTCTATATTCCCCCCTACCACCTCCATTAACATTTTGCAAAGAAAACTAGGTTTTTTTTGTCATCTTGTGCCATATTAAGAAAAAAAAGAACAACCTTTAAAAAACCGGACTTGAATCCCCCCCCAAAAAAAACCTCATAACGCTGTTAATTATACCCCCCCCCCGCTTTGTCGGTTTAAATTAAATCATAATATTCGGTTTCGTCAGTCGACGGAAAAGCAAAACGATATTATCAAAGGGAAATTAAATAAAATAAACTAAGTTATAAGGCATTACTTTTTTTCCCCCAAGAAACCGAGATGAATAATTAATATTTCGGCCCACGCCTTATTGTTTTAACTCAAAATCTTGGTCGTCTTGGACCGGGCGCGGGTTTTTCCCAAACCGTACACAAGTGTTGGGGTAATCCTATTTTTCATTCGCCAACACAAAAGAAACCTAACCGCACTGTCGACCAACAACGGAGGGGAGGGGAGAGGTGGTTGCACGGCATTTTTTAAATAAATATTTTTAATTCGTTACTTAGAATTTATTTTGTTTGTATAAGTCGGATTAACAATGCTCGGCTCTATAAATTCTAAATATTATTTATACCTAAAAATTGTACGTACGATGCCAAAAGTCTGTACATTGTGTACTTAAATATATATATATATATATATTTGGTCGTAAAATAACGTCATTGAACGCACGAGGATAAACGGCAAACTGCATGGTAAACGGTTATTTTAATTGTCCGATAAAAACGAGCAACCGTTTAAACGACCTTAAACTAAAAATGAAAAAAAAAAAATCTGTCCAACGCGCGATTTTAGCGTTAAAATTTTACTTAAAAAAAAAAATATATATATATATAATGTAACACGTTGGACCGTTTTGAAAAAACGATATCATTACATTTTTTTTTTTTTATGAGACTGTTCGAGTCGAACGCAAAACAATTATACGTTTTATTTTGCTTGCTAACCATTTATTATTATTAATATTATAGCGGTTTATAGTGTACGATAAATATTTAATTTTTTTTTTTTTACTCCCACATATGATATTAATATAGTGACTGTATATTTGTGTATTGGTCGCGCGTTAGTATACAGGGTGATCGCTTTACCGCATACCACTCAATATTGTCATAGGGTTTAATAAGATATTAAAATGTTTTTTTTTTGTCATATTCTTTTTATTCAATGTGATCTCAATTTTTCACAATTTTTTTTTCGTTTTTAACCCCCTTCCAACTTTTGAAACTTGAATAGCAGTGCGTACCTACATTTCATTAACCAGTCAAGATTTTTAGTACATTACTCTCAACTTAAAAAATGAATGAAATGTACGCGTTACCATTTAAGTTTCAAACGTCGCTATCAATAAAACTAAGTTGGGGGTAAAAACCAAACACCGAGTACACATTGTACAAAAAAACCGTATGAAAAACGAAAATTAAATTCCTTATGAAATCACACGATCACTCTGTATTGAACAAAATTAAAAAAAAAAAAAAAGCTCAGCGCAACCGAGCTGTTAAAAACTTTATTTCTATATCTATACACGTGCATATAATATCTGGTATACAATGTATCGGATGTAACATTATAATACAACATTATGGTACATATAACATCATTACGTCATAATATGCAAGTAATGGGTTTTTAATGAAAACAATTAACCAGTTGCACGAGTAGACTGACCGACGTCGTCCTATATTATTATTAAAAAAAAATTACAAACCGCACATTCGTGTAATGAGTATAATATTGAAATGTTTTTTTTTTTTTTTTACATATTGTAATTACACGGTCTAGGTTTCTGCAACGCGTTAAAGGTAACACCACGCTAGGGTTTGCGCACCAATTATTATTTATTAAGGTCACCGGTTTTAAGCGCTCGGTTTTCGCTTTGGGAATCAATGATTAATACTAAACAATGTTTTTTTTTTTTCAAATTTTATTATTCAATCAAACGCACTGACGAAAAGCGGTTAATCACGCGTACAATTTGTTGTAGTTTCAATTGGCTTTGTACCTCTACTAATAGCACCACTACCAGTATGTGGTATTGAAAGAAAATATAAAAAATAAAACATTCAATTAACAAGCTATAAATACAAAAAAAAAAACATTTATTTTTAGTGTTATATTTCAGAAATGACATCGACTAACAACACATCGCGTAACGGATCTTTCTTTTCATCGGGTTCTTTTTACCGTTTAATGACACCTACCTGTATAATATGCGTCAACCGTTTTCTTCAGTCAATGCACGTTGCACATATTACACTCTCAGTCTACAGCTGATCAGTTAACATAGCCTAATCGAACCGACACTATGAGTCGATGATAAAATCAATTTTTAAACATTTTTTTTTTTGTTTTCTCGCAGACACAAAAGCCAACCGATAACCACCTAACCAGGACAGGGCCTTTTGCCTTTGAGGCCACGATGATCCTGCGTCGTCGGTATATTACTTTCTTTTAGTTTTTACTTTTTTTCAAACATGAAATAAATTACTGTTGTTTGTGGCGGAGAAAATAAAAAAGACAACAAAGGACAGACTCTGAAATGATTAAACTGGTCTGCTTTGTCACCGTAAAAAGTTTGCGGTGGAAAACTTCAATTATTTTAATAGCTCGGAAAACGAAACGGAAAAAAACATTCCCCAACAGTTGTAATTAAAAACATAAAATACCCAAGTCCTCGAACCACAAAAGCTATTGTAGGCATACAGCACTGTCTCCAGCTCGGGCATACTTACATTGGAAGTAAGTATTCGATCCGGAGCAACGACGTGCATTAAACAAACAAAAAAAAACCTAAACTATTTACAACTAACAACAAAGTGAAGTTTTCCCCTTTTTTTTAATTTTGGGTTTTCCTTTACAAGTTAGGGTTACAGATTTTTAAGAAAATTCTAGATCTACCTTCGGTCTAACGTTCAGACTTTGAGGCTTTATCTAATAAAAGCGAAATTAAGAAAAAGTGTTCACCCATTCTGAGAGCAAGAGTTTATGATGTTTTTTATTTTTATTTGCCAAAGTCTATCCAGAGAATTTATCTAAAGAATATTTCATACAAATTTGCTTGTAATTTGACTAATTAAAAAAAAAAAAAAGTTATAGAGCGGCATAATTTTGAAGTCAGATTTTCAAAAGGAAGGGGTGAATTTTTTAAAAAAAATTTTAACCAAATATAATACCTTTTGTGTACGATTTCTCTAATCTACCGTGTATGTTTACAAAAGCACCCAAGTAGTAAACAACGACAATGGTTTTATTTCCCACATGTTTATACATAGTAATACATATATTATAATATTATATTATACTGGCGAAGATTATTGTGTTTCCCCGAAATAAACAAACCATCTGGCCGGTTCGGAAAAAAACAGACTATTATTACTATAGATATATATTATTATTATTATTACCCACTATCGTGGCCATCGACGTACTACGAGTTTTTTATCGTTTGATAAAAAATTATAATAATATACTTTTTTTTTTGTTGATGTACAATATATTATTACTATTATGATAATATGTTTGCACCGGCGTTACAACACTATTATGATCTGCTGTTGTTGTTGGAAAAACTCAAAATACAAAAAAAGGCGGTGCGCAAAGAACCGTTACGCTACACGGCCAGATAGGATCATATAGTAATTAATTATTGTTATTATTATTATTATATCATACTTTACACGGTTTACGCGCACTTTGTCACAATATTGTATTTTTTATTTTTTATCCGCCTCGACATAAAAAAGCCAAAAAGAATATTGAAAAGAATAAAAGCGACAAAGGTCACGACAAATACGTGGTCTTTTTGATAGTAAAATAAAATAAAAAATATAAATATATTGAATAAAAATACTACTTTAATTGAAAAAAAAACGAGTTAAATAATCAAAATTGCTTTTGTTTTAAATGACTTTCGAATTAAATAGCGCTTTTCCGGCTGTTACCACTATGGTTGATATTCGTGTGCAGTAACCAGAGCGGTAATTACCCAGTGACGCACCCGGTAACCGCGTATGATTGATTACGCGCCAAAACCTACAGTTTTTAAGTCGTTATTATTAGGTATTATTTTTTTAAATACCTTAAAATCTAAATCGACAAACCTAAATAATGTAGCGGAACGGTTTAGGATAAAAAAAATTAGTTAACCAATACATTTTGCCGTTAACGATTGAGAAACGGGAAATAAAATGGCGGGCGCGCGCGCGTTTGTAAACACAAACCGTTCGCGTTTACCTTTCCAGGGGTAGGCGAGGGGGAAGGGAGGGTCAAGGTCGTGCAATAGTTATATTATAAGTATTTTTTTTTTTTTTTTGAGAAAATAATGGAACAAAAACACTCACCGACTTCCCTGCGACTTCTTGGTCTTGGGCCTCTTGACGTTGGCCCCTTTGAGATCAATGGTAATCGGCATCGGCGAAGCGTATCCGTGTTCGGCTTCTGTATGTAATCATTAAAACATGACGTGTCAATAAATGTAGTATAGGTAGGTAGGTACAGCCTAATTTGGAAGGCGAAGGGGGTGGTAATAACAATATAATAAAAAACGCGCGCAATTTTTAAATAATAATAATAAAATAAATAACGGTAAAACGAAATAGTTACAACGATTGCGCGTTTGGCGGAGCTACCGGGGGGGGGACAATGGCGGCAGAGAGAAGGGAGCGGATAGGAGGCGCGCGCGCGACCGACTTACCTCTTTCGCGCCTTTCCAGGTACTCCGCGGCTTGCAACAACGCGGCGATGCTCATTTCGGTAATTTTTTATTTTTTTATATTATTTCGCAAACGATTACACGCGATTATAAAAATATATGATAATTATTTATCAAAAAACAAAACCCGACGACACTCGATTTCGGTTTTTGATTGGTGATCGACGCGCCGCCGTGTCCGCCCGGGGGGGACCGATACGGTTGAAATATTAGATTTTTCGGTATAATCAAATAAAAATTATATTATAACACACACACACACACACAAAACGAATAATACTAGTTAAATATATATATATATAAATATAATTTTGATTTAATCGCGCGCACGTACTAGACACACACACACACACACATAAACAAAAAAACTATACTCTTTTTTTTGAGAGAAAAAAAAACGGCCGCACTATGCTTATGCGGTAAGCACACCCGACACTCGCGACAATCGACGCTTTTATAATTATGTTTTTTTTTTTTTATAAATTATATTTTTTACTAATATATATATATATGAGACAAAAAACCAAAAAAAAACGAATCGATAAAATTTGTTTAATATATATTTAAAACGAAAAAAAAAAATTAAGGAAAATTTCTCTTAAAAAAAAAAAAACCACCAAAAACGACGTTATAATATATTATATTTAAATTATTGTTGTTGACTGTTGTTGTTGTTGTTGTTGTTGTAATAGTGTGCGGCGCGACAAGCGACGGCGACGGTGCGTCGGAATCGGGACTGTAAACGCGACTGCGGCCGATCACCGTCGGGTTATTGACGTGTGCACGGCGGTGCGGCCGGGCCGAGCCGAGCCGACCGCGGCCGAACCCCGGGTACGGTGGCGGGACGCGGCGCGGCGGGGGATCACGTGAAACGCACGCCGAGTACGCGCTGCCAACAGCTGGCGTGCAACGTGTACCTCCACGGCGGCCGCGCGACCACCGTGCCGCCATCTCGCGGTTACCGGGTTGTTACCGCGGCTTGACCAACATTGCGAATCCCGGTTACCCCCCGTACTTGTGTATCGTTCCGGGGTCGGTGCGCGTTATGAGCTTTATGATTAACTATTGTGAAAAGAAAAACAAACGTATACATTTGAACAATAGTGAAAAAAACGTGTTTATTTTTTTTTTTGTTTAAACTATCCAGACGTATTTTATTTTGCAAAGAATTTGTTTATTTAATTATTTACTATGGGACTTTGTTGAACGCACGGGTAAGTGAAAAAAAATGCACTGTTAATACAATATACTCGTTTTAATAGCAAAAATATATTATTTAGGTAGATAAATTCAAATGTTCAAACTAAACAAAAACATACGATTTTTGAGTTTAAGTGTTCTAAATAAACGCATATATTGATAATTACCGTGTTGGCCATTATTTTTCAGCGACAAGAAAAGCTTTTTTACCAATAGAAAACTGGGAAAACGCCCAAAACTTTGGCATAGTTATGACGTTTTGAAAGTTTTTACTTTGAACTTCAAAAGCAAAAGTACGACCGCCAGAATCTGACTTTACCGTGGTAAAAAATAGGTACATAATAATATATTTCAAAAAAATGTTTGATATATTCCCATGGGAACTAAACTGAATGTTTTCTAAATTTCCAAATTTTAATTAAGTACACCTAAAAAAATACTTCTTAAATTTGCATATACAATTTATTATACATACACATACATATGCGTGTATATTATATAAATAAAAAACTAAGTTTTTGGAATTTTTCACTTGTAGTTTATCAAAATATGTTTTTACAAAAAATGCAAATGAATTGTTTTAAAATATTTTTAAACAGTACACTTTGTATAATATGCAGACAAACGGTGAACGTTTCAGATTGATATCATATTTTGTCATAAAGTTCTAGAACCTAAAAACCGGAGTGTTTTAATAAATTATCATATTTTTTAACCGGTATTGCATCGCCTGGCTAAAAATAAATTATCAAACAATTTTTTTTCCCCATTATCGTCGACCTTGTCTGAACGCTCAATACAATTTTTTAATCAAATGAAAAATCTACTGACACACACTTAAGGTGACTTGACGTGGAACGACCCAGATGGGCTGCTAAGGTAACAGCATAAAAAAAAAAAATACAGTCATTTTAAAAAACGCCTTAAAAACGAACACACAGGCAACACAATAAAACGTAATCGACCGTGTTATAATAATTCCTGAAATAATATGTCTAATAAACAGAGTATATTGTATTTTTTTTTTTGTACAAATTCATTTTACCAGCGTTAAATCGACTGGCTAAAAATAAATTGTTAAAAAAAAAAATTGTTTTCCTACTACAATAATATTGACCTTGTCTGAACGTTCTACCAATTTATTAATCAAATTTAAAAATCTTATATCGCCATTCTACTGTCGGGTAGGACACAGTGTGTTCTGGGGAGGATCTAAGAATAAAAAAGAGAGGGGGGGGGGCTAGAAAAAAATCCCTTCAAATACACAAAAGCAAAAGTCATAGTTATGGAGGATGATATGCGGACCAGTTCGCGATACAAGGACAAATGAATGGAGAAGGAAGCTCAACAAGGAACCTCAGGAAGAACTGGGCTTAGCACCAGTCACTAGTTATATAAAAGGACAAAGAATTCAGTGGCTGGGCCATATTATGCGAAGAAGCGAGGAAGAAATCATCAGAGCAGTTATGGAATGGAAACCGGAAGGGAGAGATAGAGGGATATAGTGATGGCGGCAAAAACTCTAATAGAGTTGTAAATGCCAGTGAAGAAGAAGAAAAGTCATAGAGACACATAGTTTACATACTCCAATAGTATATTATATTATTATAAAAGGAATAAACATAAAAATACACTATTAACGAACACAATATTTAAATAGAGGGCTTCAGCCCTCCCTTGTATCCGCCCCTGTGAGCGTGTTGTATTATTTAAATTAAACTCTGAGGTTAACAAAAACTACGAAACTATATCACTTGTTGACCTTTTCGCCGAGAAGTAGTGAAAACTTTGGTTTTATTTTTCGTACAACTCTCGAGGTATGAAATATAAATTGAAGATGGATCTACTGCGGTGAATCCGTATGCAGGAAATTCGAACAAGGAGAATATTGTGTACCTATGTGTGTGTATTCCTTAGCGGCTGGTTGCTCTTGCACAACGCGGTTATGGTACTAGGTAATAATTCAAAACCGACAAGGTCGAAGAAGTTTTTACCGCAACAAACTTTATTTTTCCCCTGTACGATATTAACTTACTTTTATACTTGGAACGCGCTAAATCTAATGTATATATATATATATATATATATATTATTTTTTCGGCGCTGTACAAATCGTAAACTTTTCGTCCGTATACATAATATTGTTTGGAGGGGTAAGGGATTACATCTATATTATAGTATAGTATTTGTATATACTTGTGCTGTGCCGTCGGTCAGGCGATAATCCAAAAAAAAAACGTCCGAAATGTTATAATATTTTAAAATCACTAAACGACTTCAGAGTTCAGTTACCGCCTTTCAAAAATATAACACCTTCCGCGTCGTAGACTATTATCAATCCGGTGGCCATGATGGAAATTGAAAAGTTTTCATTTAATAATATTAAACAAGTATTTTAAATCTAAAACCGCGACTGTAACAGCTGATAACGATAAAAAAACGTCAAAACTTATGAAATATTATATTTTGTTATATACATAAATATATTGTACTAATACTAGATAGCCGTTTTTGCCATAATCACTCAGAAATTAGCTGAAGCCGCCGCCATATGCAATGTACGCACTATCGGTAAACAAACGTTATCAATATTAGGCATTATCATCTTGTACATAATTCAGAGTAATCTTGTACTCAATTACCTTATGCCTTTATAATTTTTTATTTTACCCGTTGTTGTTATATTATCATTGATAGTGTATTTGATAACGTTTGTTTACCGACTGTGCCTACATTGCATATGGCGTCAGCTTCACTGATAATAATTCGAAGACGGCTATCTAGTATAGTGTAGCTATAGATATAGGTTATTTATAAAGTAAAATAAAAATACACATATTTAAATAAAACTGACATAATCTCAGTCATTAGTCACTACACATTTTATAATTCCTTATTTACACACACCTGATTTTTTTAAACTATTAAAAAAAAATTTGGACCCATTTGGGTAATACTTAAAAAGTTTTGGAACAAAATAACTTTTTAAACAATCCACTCTGAACCCTTGGTGTAATTCTTAGTATGGATATTTATTTGAGGTATATTTAAATTGTTATTTTGTGATGGTATATTTTTGTTCGGGTAAATAATGTCTTATCAAATAATGATCTTTGTTCAGAATTATCATCTTTAAAAACTACAACGCCAACAAACACATTTATGAGTTTTTTGTTGAATATTTTGTTTATTTTTTTGGACTAATCAATAAACTCCAGTTGTACAACAATGTAATCTTCTTAGGTAATTAAACAGCTTATTTTTTTAGTACACAGCAGTCAAAGTAATAATTGGTTTTTTTTTGTCTCTGAATCACTCAGACTGGGAGGAGAATGTCAAAGTAACCTAACATAAGGCATAGTGCATGTTATATTGTTATTATTTATTGGGAAATTAATAAATCAATAAATCTGAAAAAAATGTAGTTTCTCACTTCTATTTTTGGATTGTAATTTGTATTGGGAACTAACCATACAATTATACAAATTTAAAAAAAACTATTCTAAACGAAACAATAAATAATTACATATTTGTTTACACTTAAATTTCAAGCGAAAAATGCTGGTTTTTATTTTTTTTTATGGTTACTTCTAACCTATATATTTGCATTTCGGTTTAATAACCTATTCCGTCGAGCTTTAAATAATTTTAAGTGTTTTGCATTTTTTTTTTTGTTTATTTCTTAACCTCGTCATTTTCAACAGTTTTTGAATTCGAACTTAACATTTTTACAGCCCTCGTGTTCGATTGTCCAGGATTTATAGATCCCAGGGAAGATTAAAGTGCATTGTCATTAAATTGCTAGATATTTCTCACCCAAAGAAAAGAAAATCCTCCTATAAAGCCAATTAAAATCGTAGTAGATCTTACAAAATCTTTATAATGGGTTAATAATGGTCCATTGTTGTTAATATGTTAAATTAAAGATCAACTGATTGAAGGTTTATTTGCATTGACAAAATCATTATTATCATCATTATTTATTTTAAAAAAAAATAATAGTTTGCTATTTCCTCAGATAAAAAGTATTTATTTGCAGGCTAACATTGACCAATAATTAAAAAAATGTATTATTTATCAAAAGAATACTTAAAGAATTTTTTTAATTATTTAAATTCGTTTTGTTCAAAGCACGATGCACATTCTTTATTTTCTATTCGTTAATTAACAATTCATTTGTTAAATAAGATGCAATTCCAAACCAAACCAAACAAAAAATAAATAAATAAATAATGGTACTGATATAAATCATAATGGAAAAATAGAAAATGTTATTTTTTTTCTATTTACTTTCATTATAGGTTTTGGAAAATGGAGAATTAGTTGTTATTATTGATCTTTTCAATTTATAGAGAAACAAGAGAATAGTAAATTGAGAGACACATGCGACCATATACGAGGTGGAAAAATAATTGCTTTTAGAGAGTTTTTAAGTCGAGTTTGTGAGTTGTATCAGCGCAGTGATTTTAGCAATTAACCCAACTGGAAGATTTGTAGAAGTGTTTAGCTTGTTCCGGGAAAAAACTTTTGGTCGAAAGA